TCATAAATATTTAGAGAACTTGAGTGTTGTTTGCAGCAAAAGTATAATAGTTTTTTCTTATTTAAAAGTCTTCTTTTTTTTTTTCTTAATGGAGGTACTGGGGATTGAACCCAGGACCTTGTGCATGCTAAACATGCCCTCTACCACTGAGCTATTCCCACCCGACCCCACAAAAAAAGGCCTTCATTAAAGAAAAAAAAAATCTAAGGCCTTATTTTGTGACAGTTTATGCTAGAAGATTAACTACTTGCAGTAATCATGATTGCCTTTCCCACCAGTGATTCAGCTTCTTTCTACTTCCCACCACTCGTCCCTGCTCCATGCAGTTGACTTTAGATTCAGGAGAGGAAGGAGAGTAGGCACATTGCATTTTTTCCCTCTTTTCTTATTCCCAAGGCTAATGGGGCAATATGTTAGTCTTCATTCCCTCTTCAGATAAAAAAAAAAAAAGATATGGAATGAATGGGGAGACACTGGGCTGGCAGCAGTTTATATTGGTTAGGAGATACTAGGTTGGGTTGAATTTTGCAAAATAGCCCTGATACTGAAACTAGTCTTTAAGGTACACAGTAGCTCACAGTACCTGGCAGCCTGCAGTTAGACTCCTAATTCTTCACCTTTTCAAAGGGCTCTGTGGCTTTCCAGAGTCAGCAAACCAATGCACCTCTGTGTATATAAAAAACGTATCGTGGATAATGAAGCAGGGAAGAAATGTTATTCTTTTAATAGGCTATACTTCGGATATTTTGAATATCTCATCTTACTGTCAGGATGGGTTTCCTCATGTGCCCTTGACCTGGTGGTGTTCTAATGTTGATAGAGAGTATTTTCAGAACCTGGTTTCCAAGAGTTGTTAGATATTTGGGATGCTGTTCACCTCTCTTTCTCTTTCTGATTCTGACCAATGGGGGGCACACATAAGGAATAATAGTCAGACAGGAAAGTACCACTTTTTTCATAGATAGACAAGCTCCTGATACCCAAAGTAAGCTTTGGTAAAAGCTGGATTAGAGAACCTGACTCTGATGTGAAGCTGAAGTACGTGCTTCCACCACCCAGCCCAGATCTAAGACATTAGATTCACACGCTCAGCCCCATGAAAGGGTGAGCAAGTGAGAAACTGGGCCTGCAGTGTTCCACCCACGTGCCAGGACTCGAGGCCTGCCACACCCACCTGTCATAGGTTGAACAAGAAGAATGGCAAGCCTGCCCCACTTAGGAAGGACAGCCCGGGGTGCTCGTCATATGGAGCAGAAATGGAAGAGGCAGCCTTTAGTACGGTGATGGTGTTCACCGTACGTCATTGTGGCACAGTGAGTGTGAACTCTCACCCATCACATGGTCCACTCCCTCAGTGGGAAGTGAATTGTGGGTAGGAGAGACCAGAGCCTTCCGTCCAGTCCTCCTAGCAGAGGGGAGAGCGGGCAGAAGGCCGTTCATCTGCGGTACAACAAGCAGGATTCCTCTGAGCATCAGTTTTGAAAAGTAATGTTCTGTGCTATCCTCGGAGGATGTCTTGTTTGTGGTCTAATCCAAGGATTGATGATTGGGGAAGCAAGCTTTAGGCTGAAGAGATGGTGGAATTTTGATTGAAGAAAAATGTTATGCCTAGAAAACTCCCCATGGATAATCTGCAAGTCAATCCTTGTTTTATGCAAAACAGCACCTGTGCCTCCGTGCTGATGGTGCAGATGTAGTAACTAACCACGCGGAAAAGCCAGCTGCACGCCTGGGATTGGGGGAAAACCTTTTCCCTCTCCAGGAGTGGGGGACTCCAACTTAAAGAGAAATAAGCATATGAGAGGCTGGTGTGGAAAGACTCTGAAAAATCTATGACTACGTGGCTTGTGAAAATTGCCTTTTGTTTCCAAAGCAACAATGTTTTTGAGAAAAATAAAACTTTTCTCAGTGTGAGATCTTTTCTCTTTGTATTTTATATTGGAATACATTATGGCAGTGTTTTTAAAAAAACCTTGAATGAATTTCAGGATTAGGCAAAGTCAGTTTTAGGATCAACCTGGCTCTCTTGTCTATGGGGGAACTTGGCCAAGGTATTTCGCCCCTCTGAGCCTCAGTTTCCTCATTCAGAATGGAGGTAACCGTAGCTACCAGGCAGGGTTTTTGTGCCAATTAGAGATACTGGGGGTAAAGTGCCTGGCCCAGAATGAATTGTGATGACGATATGTATTTTTTTCTTAATCCTTTATGCTGCATCACAATAGGTGGATGTGCAAGCTTTATTTGTGCACAACACTAAACCCAAGAGGATATTTGTTCCTTTATGGGTCAGAAAGACTAGGCCAAATTTTAAAGTGGGAATTAGGAGGTCATGTTCCAGAAAGATCCTTTCTGGTCTGTATGATTGATTTTTCCCAGGAAATTAGATCATTCAAACATCTGCAGATTTGTTGGAGTCTGCATTGAAGTGCCAGATGTGGTTGTTGTGACAGAACCCTTGCCCAAAGGGAAGCTTGATGGATGTTCTGCTCACTGGTGACATTCCTCTCATCTGGGGTTTCCAGTAAGGGGCAGGCATTTGAGTGGTAGGAGACACAACTATTGAAATCCTACAACCAAGCCTTCTTTCCATCAGTGTTCCTAAGGATCTGTTGCCACCTGAATGCATTTTCCTGGAAGAAGATTTGTGTTATACCTTATGGCATGAATGGGAATGGAAGGATGACTAGAGGGAACAGAATTTTGAACCAGGCTCACCCACTGGTACCCAGGGAGACCTGACTGGAGATGATGACAGAAAGTCCTGTTTAGCATCAAAAGAGTGTAGCTACAGGCAAGTAGCAGGCACTTGCTAGGTCTAATAAATTTATATAACAAACACTGTGTTGGACAATAAGGATTACAAAAATAAATAAGAAATATTCCTTTGGCTTGGTGGGAAAGACAATAATCGGAGTTACAGAAAAGTTGATACAAGTCCTAGGGGAGTGTCAGGTGACTAGGGGTAGCATCTGGTCCAGACTAGGCATGCGGAATGGTCCATGGGAGGTTCCCAGTGGAGGTGAGCTGACGAAGAGTGGAAGTTTGCCAGGAGAAGGGGAGAAGAGAGGTCATTCTAAAGAGAAGGAACAATGTGTGGAAGATGTAAGAGAGGATGGTCAGCCTGGGATTGTGGATTCATTAAATATGACCAGAGCTTAGAGATGAGGGTGGAGGTGGGAGGTAGCAGTGGTGAGAAAAGAGACAGGAAGGTAAGTAGATATTCCTGAAATGGGCCAAAGTATATGCAATAATTTAGTATTTGATAAAAATGGAATTTCAAATAAGTGAGGAAACCAGAGATTGTTTGAATATACAGGACGACTGTCTAACCATTTGGCGGAAATAACATTAGACCCATAGTTCACACTTTTAACCAAAATTAATTTGGGGTCAGCTTTAAATTTTCAATATGAAAAATGAAACTTTTAGATGTACCAGAAGGAAACACTCAGATATGATTATATAGCACCACAATGAAAACTTAACAGGAATATGAGTATCTGGGGAAAGCATTTTTAAAAAATTTTTTTATTGATTTATAATAATTTTACAATGTTGTGTCAAATTCCAGTGTCGAGCCCAATTTTTCAATTATACATGAACATAGATATATTCATTGTCACATTTTTTTCTCTGTGAGCTAACATAAGATCTTGTATATATTTCCCTGTGCTATAAGCATTTCTTTTTTAAAAAATTTTTGTTGAAGTGCAGTTAATTTACAATGTTAATTTTAGGTGTACAGCAAAGTGATTCAGCTATACAAATATACATACACATATATTTTTTCTTTCGGGAAAAGTATTTCTAACATGATCTCTTACCGAGTATAACTAACAAAAGAGTTCAGGTTGATATTCATAGACTACAAATATTAGTAATATATGTAGCATAATGAATAACTTCTGGTCTGTAATTATAGATAAGCCTATGAACATATAAATTTAGTTTTAAATGTGACATGTACAGGCGAGTCAGATTTATTTGGAAGAAATAAAATATTCACTTTTTTTTCCTGGATAATTATGACCTCGTAGCATTCACAAATGTAAGCATAGCTGAGCTTACCTGAAGCGACGTCTCAGTGGCTCTGCATTTCACAGCGGAAGGGCAGTCTACATGGATTTTTAATTTGCTCTGGATGAGGAATTTTGCATCAAAATGACCTGTGTGAATTTTTGCAGCTATGCCATCATTTTCTTGGAGTTTGTGACATGAAGTGACCCAGTCTTGGTAAGATTCTATTGAAAATATTTTCAGATGAACCATCGGGGAATCTGCTTCTCAGGGAGTCAGCCATAAGTAGTGTGCCCTACCCTAGCAGAGAAGGATGGTGTGTCTGATTTGTTCATATGTTTTTGGGAGAGAATAAGATTATCTCTATCTATCTATCTATCTA